CATAATCAGCATCTAAGACAAAGAAGGCCCAGGGATATGGGAGGCATCTGGGAACCCAGGAAGGAATGCTAAGGGGCTCAACACTGGGCAAAGAGGCCTTGTCTTTTTTTCTGGGTGATCTTAGGCCAGCTCCTCCCTTTTCCTGGCAGCACCCTCTGGCCACACCAGGTTCCCATGTGCATTCAGAAAGCCTGATTTCCCTCTGTTCCTAAGTCTGGATCCCTTAGCTATTCCTTGCTAGAGGGACTCAGATCCTGGATGGAGGGTTGGGGTTCCCTTCCTTCCCCATCTCACTCTAGAAAATTTTTAGCATATTTTTATGCAAATGATCTTAGAGTTGGGGAACACTGAAAGGAATGAAATAAATCTTAAGGTAGTTTCCTAGCCCCTCAACCCAGCTACTATGAACTTGGCTTTGAAAGGCCAGGCCTGCCTTCCTATTCTCTAGTGTAACATGATCCCATACCCAGGAGTCTCTGGACTAAGAAAGGGAAATCACAGATATATGGGGGTTCTATGCAATCTATATTGAAAATGATGAAGGCTTGGGAAAGGGAGGTCTAACCCCAAGTCTGGGCTAGGATGAGAAAGGAGACAAGAGCTAAATCACTTGGGTACTGTTCTTTCCTTGGGCATTTTATTAAAGCTGGAGCCAGGTGGTATATGTTTGCTCCCTGCTCTTCTTTGGACAGGGCTTCTAGGGAGGAGGCTATAGAATGAGATGGAGTGGCCTGCTGGAACCACTGCACACTGAGTTAATAGGGCCAGTGACAGTTCAGGAAGCAGTTTTATAATGATTTCTTCAGAAATAAACATACCTAAGCTCCACCAAAAAGAAAAGCAAAAAACTGTGATACATCACTCAAAGACAGAAATCACATGATCATCTCAATAGATACAGAAAAGTCTTTCCATAAAACCCAGCTATAGTAGGACAGGCCCATAGGGTCGAGGAAATTGACTCAGACTAGTAATCAAGGCATGCATATAACATACTCCTTAAGAGCCAACCTGGAATCCTCCTGAGGGCCTAACAACAGGAGCTCTCAGAGTTCCTAGTCCATGTCAGAGTTCCTGATTGTGCAGTCTGCCTGAAGGCCTAGCAACAGTTGCTGTCACAGTTCCTAGTTGCTGTCAAGAGTTCCTGATCATGCCAAGTCTGTCTGAGGACCTACCAACAGTCAATGTGATGTCAGAGTTCCTGATTGTGCCCAGACAATGAGGGACGATCACACAGACTGGGCGTTGGCAGGAGGGTATATAAGGTCTTCCCTGTTATTGAATAAATGAGTTCGTTATTTGCTTTCAAGGGACTCCTGGTGTCTGAGTCGTTGATGCTGCGCCTTTTCAACTCCTCCCCCAAGGGAGCTATTAGAATCCAAGCAACACCCAGCATCCTTTCACTAAAAAAGTCCCAAAGACTGGGACTAGAATTGACTTAACATAATAAAAGCTGTATATGGCAAGTCTATAGCCAAAATTATAATAAATGGGGAAACACTCCAAGAATTTCCACTAAAATCAGGAATAAGACAAGGTTGTCCAGTTTTTCCACTTTTGTTCAAAATAGTGTCTGAAGTCTTAGAGCAATAAGAGGAGATAAACGAGATACAAATAGGAAAGGAAGAAGTTAAAATATCCTTATTTGCAGATTGTATGACTCTATAAGAAGTCTAAAGACTCCACCAGAAAACTCTTACACACCTGATAAACACTTTTAAACAAAGTGGAAGAACATAAAATTAGCATATAAAAACCAATAGCTTTCATAAATGCCAGTAACAAACATGCTAAGAAATCAGGGAGGACAGTCCATTCACGATCTTGGAATAAATCTGACCTAAGTAGTGAAGCAGAACTCCAGTCAATCAAGAACGATAACGGGACATCATCAAATTAAAAGAAACAACTGGGTAAAGAGAGAGCCTGCAGAATGAGAGAAGGCCTTTGCAGGCCATCCACCTGACAGAATTAATATTTAAAACATACAAATAACTCAAAAAACCTAACCAACAATAAGTCAAACTACCTAATTAATAAAAGGACTAATTAAATAAACTGACAGTTCTCAAAAGATTAAATACAAATAGCCAATAAAAAGTTTTTTAAAATGCTCAGTCTCATTAGCCATCAGAGAAATATGTCAAAACTACTGTGAGATTCAATATAAGTCAAAACTACAATGAGATTCCAACTTATCAAAATGGCAGTCATTAGCAAGTAACAGGCTGGAAAGATGTCTCCCAAGTTAAAAACACTTGCTGCAGGGGAACATTCACTCCTCTACTGCTGGTGGGAGTGCAAACTTGTACAGTCACTTTGGAAATCAGTATGGCAGCTTCTCAGAAAATTGGGAGTCAATCTACCTCAAGACCCAGCAATACCATTCTTGGACATATACCCCAAAGATTTTCAATCATACCACAAAGACACCTGTTCAACTATGTTCATAGCAGCATTATTCGTAATAGCCAGAACCTGGAAACAACCTAGATGCCCTTCAACCAAAGATTGAATAAAGAAAATGTGGTATATTCACACAATGGAGTATTATGTAGTGGTGAAAAACAATGACATCATGAAATTTGCCGGCAAATGGATGGAACTAGAAAATATCATTCTGAGTGAGGTAACCCAGACCCAGAAAGACTAACACAGTTATGTACTCACTCATAAGTGGATATTAGATATAAAGCAAAGGATAACTAGGCTACAATCCACAACCCTAGAGAAGCTAAGAAACAAGGAGGATCCTAAGAGGGACACACATGGATTGCCCTAAGAAGGGGAAATAGATAAGATATCCTGGGTAAACTGAGAAGAGGGTGGAGGGGAGGGGAGGGGGACAAAAACATGAGGGATCAGGATGGCCAAGTTGGGGGAGGGATGGAGAGGGAGAGCATTGAAAGCGATATCTTGATAGAGGGAGCCATTTAGGGGTTAAGGGAAAAACCTGGTGCTGGGAAAATTCCCAGGAATCCATAAGGATGACCCTAGCTAAGATTCCTAGCAATAGCAGAGAAGGTGCCTGAACTGGCCTTCTCTTGTAATCAGATTGGTGACTACCCTAATTGTCATCATAGAACCTTCATCCAGTAACTGATGGAAGCAGATGCAGAGATCCACAGCCAAGCACGAGCCAAACCCCTGGAATCCAGTTGAAGAGAGGGAGGAGGGATTACATGAGCACGGGGGGGGGGGGGGGGGGGGGGGGGGGGGGGGGGGGTGATAGGGGTAGGGATAGTGGGCATGGGGGGGCGTGGTGTCAAGATCATGATGGGAAACCTACAGAGACAACCAAACCAATCTAGTGGGAACCCATGAACTGTGGACCAATAGCTGTGGAGCCTCCATGGGGCTGGACTAGGGCCTCTGAATAGGTGAGACAATTGTTTAGCTTGACCTACAGGGGCCCCTGGCAGTGGGATCAGGATCCATCTCTGGTGCGTAAGTGGGCTTTTTGGAGTCCACTACCTATGATGGGACACCTTACACAGCTTTGGTTCAGGGTGAGGGGCTTGGACCTGCCTAAACTGAATGTACCAAACTCTGCTGACTCTCCATGGGAGTTCTTGCCTTAGAGGAGGTGGAAATGAGGGATGGGTTGGGGGGAAGGCTGTGGGAAGGGCGAGAGGAGGGAGGAAAGGGGTATCTGTGGTTGGTATGTAAAATAAACAGAAAATTTCGTAATGATGATGATAATAATAATAATAATAATAATAATAATAATAATAATAAAAAATAAATAAAAGAAAGCAGGCTGAGCATGGGGAGCAAGCCAGTAAGCAGCATTCCTCTATGGCCTCTGCATCAGCTCCTGCCTCTGGGATCCTGCCCTGTTTGAGTTCCTGTGAACAATGCTGAAGCATAGGCTAAATAAACCCTTTCTTCCCCAACTTGCTTTTTGGTTATGGTGTTTCATCGCAGCAATAGAAACCCTGACTAAGACACAAACAAACAAGTAAAAACCAATACTGGTGAGGATATGGACAAAACTTAAATACTGCTGGTGGGAATGCAAACTAATCCAAACATTAGGGAAGTCAATATGGCTGTTTCTCAAAATAAAATTCACTCTACCTTATGACTTAGATCATTCTCAGATAATTTACCAGGAAAAATATTTACCAAAAGCAAAAAATGAAAAAATGTCGACATATCCTAGAGATACTTGTATATCAATAGTTACTGCAGCACTATCCACAATAGCTTGAGTCATAGAACCAACCTAGGTGTCCAATAATAGAGGAAGAAATAAAATGTGGTATGTAGACACAGTAGGATTCTTTTCAGCCAGAAAGAACAAAATTAGATCATTTTCAGGAAAATTTAAAAAAATGGATATCAGAGTTAATCATCTCGAGTAAATTCAGCTAGTCTCAGAAAGACAAAATTGCATGTTTTCTCTTACTGTGGTTCTTAGAATTTACAGAGATAAAGTAATGTATGCAGTAAACTGTCTAGGGGAACAAAGGGAACTTACAGGAGTAAGGAGGGGAGTGAAGATTGAAGGTAGGTGGCATGGGGGCAGGAAATGCACTGAACAATATAAACTTGTAGGAAAACTTTTAAAAAGTTAAAATAAAACTGAAGTAACAACTTTTAGCAGACATTTATTTCACAGAACATTTATTAAATTCAATTTAAGTATCTTATTTTGATTAGTTTGATTTCACATTTGTGTAATTTTTTAATTTAAATCCGATTTAAGAACAGGTTAGGATATGTAATTTATAAAATAATAGACACATAAAAATGAATTATATTACTGAGCTGAAGACAAACTTCATTTTCTATTTGAAGCCACTGTGCCCTTCAAAAAATTATAGTACATATCATGTAATGAAATATATAACAGAGAATATTTGGATTACTTTATTTTAAAAAATTGCCAAATTAAAAGTGATCATAAATTTATGTTTACTACATAGTTTTGCTAGAACAACTTTGTTAAACAGGGTAGGATGTTGTAAGTGTAAAATTAAAAAAATGTTAATTACCTTCAAATAAACTGAGGTCTCTTCGTAGCCGTGGTCCATAAAGCCCTTCTAAAATACTCTCAAAACCTGTGTTTTCAAAGAGAGAAAAATGTATTAGTTCTTTACTGAAAATTCTATGTCAACCAGAAAATAGTTTACCATAGTATAAGTGTTATTTTCACCCAGTTTAAAGTGAGCTAGCTAGTTCACTAATTATATAGTGACTGTATATTAAGTCAAATTAAGATTTAAAGTAATTAGAATACTCAAATGCATTTACTAATCCATGGTAAAGTACTATCAAGCATAACCTAATATTTGAGACAAGAATGCTGATGAGAATGTGGGGAAAGGGTAACAATCATTCACTGTTGGTGGAATTGCAAAACTATGTAACCATTATGGAAATCAGTGTGAAGAATTCTCAAAGCAGGAAAAATAAATCTACCATCTGACCCAGCTGTAACACTCTGTGGCACATGCCCAAAGGAACTGACATCACACTCCACAGATACTTATTTAGCCATGTTCATTGCTGCTCTATTCACAATAGCAAAGAAATGGAAACAGCCCAAATGTCCTACACTGACAAATGAATAATGAAAATATGGTATGGATACACTATGGAATACTAGTCAGCTGTAAAGAAAAATTCAATCATGAATTTTGCAGGTAACGTGATGATGGAGTTAGAATTTATTATACCAAATGAGGTGACTGAGACCCAGAAATTGCATGTTCTCTCTTATTTCTGACCATTAAAACAGAGAATATATTAACAATGAGTATTCACCCTTTTCAATCAGCAATCTCAATATATAGAAATTTTGAAGCATGTAGTGTTGATGCACACCTTTAATCCCAGCAGTTGGGGGGCAGAGGCAGGAGTTTCTCTGTGAGTTCAAGGCCAGCCTGGTCTACACAGTCAGTTTCAGGATAGCCAGGGCTACACAGAAAAACCCTGTCTCAAATAAACCAAAATAAATAAATAAATAAACAAACAAACAAATAAATAAAGTTTTGAAAGGCATAGGTCAAATCTCCTTCAAAATTTGGCAACTCATCAGCATCAACATCATCTCACTTTTAACTACATACATTTATATCCTTTCGTTCTTGTGCAGATTCCAGTGCGTCTGTAAAAGTTACTACAGAAAAACTGTATATGTCCTCTCTCTTATTTCTGAACCCTAGCTTAATATTTACATATGAATATACAGTCTGGAGAAACCACACTGCTGAAACCAGGAAAGTAAAATGGGACCAGGTACAAGGGGCTGGGGGTGGGGGAAGCTACAAAGAGGGGCATAATAGGAAACAGGTGCTATAAAAGGGGAAATGGGAAATACAGGGAGGAGGACTTTATCTGGGAAAGGGGCTGGAAAGAGAAACACTGCTGGACAGAGGAGGGATAAAGAACACCAAAGACAGAGAAGGACAGATAAAGAACATCAAAGATGACTGAAAAGACACAAGAAAACATTATTTTATGTTTACTTACAAATATATATGTATGTGTATGAATATATAAATAATTTAAATAAATTTATGCCACTCGGGGTGATAATGCTCCCGTAAGAGCCATAGACCAGCAAAAAACACTTGCTTCAGGAAGGGGAACCCTCCTTTTGAATTGCTGATCAGGGGAGTCCAACAAGACAGACACCCAAGGCTTGTAGTTGCCTCCCAGAACTTGAAGGTAAAGCACTACAGCTGAAGACACCACATACTTCAGATGCAAGATTTTCTAGCAATTAAGCTGGAACTGATCTGAATGCCTTCTCCCTAAGGATCAACTCTTATAGTATCAGAAGGTGGTATGCAAACTACCAAGGGAGAGAACAGTCAGTAGTTCTACAAATCACAACACTGACTGGATCAGCAAGTTATCCACAATGGTGCAATAGTGGCACGTATATCTTAGGACAACCAATAGCTATCTAATTGAACTTAAGCCAATTTAACACGAAATGATTCATGCTTGGTACTGTAAATTTTGGCAACTTCCCATTGATGGAGGGTCACAGATGGGAGGAAAACTTTCTACTGATAAGTTTCCTAGGTCAATATAATTTCTAACTGTATTCTAAACATTTGTCTTTATACCCACAAATAACCAGAGCATCTCTTACCCCTCACTAAAGAAGCTTCTTTTTGCAACCAGATACAGACTATTACAGAGATCCACAATTGGTCAAAATACAGATAATAACTGACTTGGGGTGTCCAAATCCAACAGATAGATCAGATCTCCAGTGCAACATAACATCTATGGCTCAGGGAAAACTGTGGAAGGGGAGTCAGAAAGATTTTAAGAGCTAGAAGACCAAGACCTATGTCAGATAGTGTCTTCTATACATGACAAGGAAGCTGACCCATGAGCTCTTAACAATATGGTTACATGGACAAACTCAGCATAATGACAAATCTAGGTGACATGAATGGCTATAGATGGTCAATGTTTGCTGAGAGGATGAGAATCTGACACCTTCAGAGACAGGCTCCAAAATACACCATCCATTCCCTATTGGTCATCCCTGGACAAATGTATGTATGTATAGGCAAAGCTAAACTGGCTCAAAGAAATTTCTTTGTATTTCTAGCTTGTCAGGCATTTTTTCCTATCATGAATGTTAATTTTATCAGATTTTGTTTTTTTTTTGGTTACTGAACTAATAATTTTTAAAAACCTCTTACTACAGCAAACATTCCTAACTGATTCTGAATGTCAAATCAATGTTCATTCCTAGGGATACTGAGTATCATATGGCATTTTTACATGCTGGTTGGGTTTCTGACTCTGGTATCTCCTTTGAAATTTCATCAATGAAATAGGTTTACAACTGTTTTCCCTTTAACATCAAGCAAGAGGGGAGGAAAGATTGTTAGAGCCAGAGGACCAGGAAATCTGCTGTAAAATCTCAGAGAAATGACAAGGAAATTTCAAGCATGATACTTCACCAATATGGCTGCCTAAAAATGACTTGAACAAGAACAACATGGAAGGGAGAAATCTCATGGAACTACACCTCAAAACAGGCAACTAAAGAATGTTGAGAGCATGAAAAATAGTCTTCCCCAGGTATGATCCCCCTAACTGGTCATCCAATTGTTGTTGGCTTTTTGGCTCTTTTAGGGGGCCCATCACCCAGGTCCCAAATAAATCACACACAGAGGTTTATTATTACTTATAAATTGCCTGGCCTTTGCTTGGCTTGTTGCTTGTCAGCTTTCCTTAACTTTAAATTAATCCTGCCTACCTTTTGCCTCTGGGCTTTTCCCGTTCTCTTATTTCTATAAATCTTATTCTTACGCCATGACTGGCTGTGTAGCTGGGTAGCTGGCCCCTGGAGTCCTCCTCCTCTGGCTACTTCTTTTCTTTCCCAGATTTCTCCTATATATTCTCTCTGCCTGCCAGCCCCACCTATCTCCTACCTTACTATTGGCTGTTCAGTTCTTTATTAGACCATCAGGTGTTTTAGACAGGCTAGGTATCACAGCTTCACAGGGTTAAACAAATGGAGCATAAACAAAAGTAGCACACCTTAAAATAATATTCCCCAACATTTTCCCCTCTCTGTCTAAATAAAAAAAATGAAAAGTTTTAATTTTAACATAATAAGACTTTATACAATAAGAACAATTATCAAGTAGATTACATTCACAGTGTAATGAATTCCCGTTCATTTGTGTCTAGCAAATTAAAATACTCCATTATCTATCTTATCTTAATGAATCTAAAGTTTTATACCTAATTTATTCTCTATCATAACTAAGGAAGACTGCAACTATAATTATCTAGTCTTCAACTTCGCCAAAGACCTCAGAAAAATAATATTATTTGAGTAAATAAAAAGTGCATTGCAAACAACTTCCAAAGAGACATCTGACTGCCTGGACAGTCACCCAAAGTTCCTTGAGGCATCCATCTTCAGCCTACAGGTCTAGAGTATCAGGCAGACTTCTCAGTGAAGCAGGAAATTTGAAGCACTGTCCTGTCTTGCATTAGCAAAGTTCATCAGTCGCTTTTCTCTGTGTCCGGCAGAATACCTGACAGACTCTTCTGTGAAGCAGGAATTTGAAAGACTGTCCTGCCTTGTATTGGCAAATCTCAACAGTCACTTTCCTGTGTGTCCTGCATGTTCAATCTGCACAGCACACTGTCAGCAGTCAAAGGCAAGAACAATTTCTTTGCTTTATTTAAAATGTAAGGTAAAATTCTTGTTTTTGAAAGCTATTATTATAAATTATATAGGATAATCAAGAAACATTGAGGAGTAATTAGTCATTTATAACAATCAAATTTGTAGATGTGCTAGGTATGTTTTTTAGGTTAGATAGATAAATTTTAGATAGATGGTCTTCAAATACTTCAAAGACCTATAAATATGGTACTTAAAATATTTTGTTGATTTAAAGCTTTTTATGACAATGACACACATCTGCTCCTGGCAGCACCCACTTACTTCTGAGAAGATGATGGGCACTGAAGAAACTCCTTATGGAGTTTTGTGGTGAAATATTTTATTTGTGCTTTAATAAACAAAGTTTGCCTGTAGATTAGAGGAAATAGCAAGCCATTTTAAGTAAACAAAGAAGTCAGGTAGTAGTAGAACACACCCTTAATCCTATCACTTAGCAGGCAGGATCTCTGTGTGTTCAAGGCCACAGAGCCAAGTGTGGTGGCACAGGCCTTTAATCCCAGTACCAACTACAGAGTTCTAGAGGCCTGTACAGACAGGAAGTGACAGAGCTGGCCAGGAAGAGAAAGTGATGTAGCTAGACAGACAGCAAATCAGATGGCAGAACAGCAAGGCATATAAGCTTGGGTAGACAGGAAATCACTCTTTTTGGAAGCTGTGGAATTGGTGAGGTGAGGTTAGTCCTACTCCTCTGATCTTTCTCTCAGGCTTTAACCCAAATTTCTGGCTCCATGTTTTTTATTTATTAAGACCACTTAGAACTGGGCAAAGATAAATAGAATGTATTTGCTTATATGTGGATATTAGCCATTAAATAAATGATAACCAAGCTACAATCCAAAGAGGTTAGGTAATAAGGAAGAGACTGGTGGGGGGGCACATAGA